TGGGCCTCATCCTCTAATATGGCCGACCATATGGAGTAGGATAGGAGAGTTTTGGTCTTCCTAACCCTAGTCTAATTATAATGTGATTATAAATAGACTATGTACCTAGGGTTTGCATGACAGTTGAATTCAGTTGATGAGTAAGATCAAAACCCAAATTAGCAAACACGAGACCTAGCCCTCTAAAATACTCCTCTCTTTCACAGCACTCTCTCTCCTCCTCGGTGCCAATTGTGGTGGTGATCGTGATTCTCCTCAATCACTCGACCAATCTAGTATTGGTGGACAGCTCGTTCGAAGCTCGTGGACTAAGTAGAGGAGCAACGCTTGGGGCTCTATTCTCTCCTTGATTCGTCAATCAATTGCTACGTGGAATTCACGCTTCAAAGGTATGATTATGTGTCTTGTGTGTTATGCATGTGATCTTAGGATTAGGTACTTGATTGAATGTGATTCATGATTTTCCACTGCGTAGTACCTATAAACTCCTACAGCGGTATCAGTTAGCCTCTTGCACGAACGCACTTGATCATATTAATACGATTAATTTGAAGTCCATGTTAATTTTATAATCAATTAAGAGGGAGAAATTAATTTAATTATGGTTCAATTGTTATACTTAATGTGATTAAACTTTTGGAATTGATTAAATGTGATTTAATTATGCTCAAAATAGCCATGACGAGGACCGAATTAAGCCCTAGATCATTCAAAATTTTCAAACCTAAGAACCCTAGTTTCGATTTTATCGAAAATCCCTAACCCTAATTTTCGAATTTTAAAAAATCCTAACCCTAAAATATGATTTTTGTGCTTGATTTGATTTAATTCGAATTGTTTATGTTTCATAATTTTAATCGGATTGATTTATGCATAAAAACGTTCTGTGTATGATCATCGATTTAATTTTAAGAGTTAGAATTAAATTGGGATTAATTTTATGATGAACCCTAATTTTAAAGTTTAATGTTGATTTAATTTTAATTTTTGGACTGATTTGATTTAATTTTTATAAAAGTTATTTTAATTAAATTGAAAACAAAAAAAATTAATTAGTTTTAAGGCCGACAGCCGCGGCTTGGTGGCGCAGCCACGGCGGCTGCCGACCTGGTGGCAGTCCAAGAGGGAGCGGAAGGGGGGGCGGCATTCCAAGGTGGTTGGGGCAGCAGCAGTGCAAGCGTTGCACGCTGCTTCCATGGCTGCAACTACTACGGGGTGCTGCTGCCTTGCGGGAGTGGCTGCTGCAAAGCGGCCAGCCAAGCCAACCATGGTGGCCAACACCGTGCAGTCACGGTTTTCCAAAAAAAAAAAACTGTTTTTTGAAAAAAAAAAATCAAGATTGATAGTAAAGTAAAGAGTTTTCTGATTTTTGGTGTGAGGAATTTGTGAAGGGTTGAGGGTCTCTTTACAATGTTAAAGGGTGGAAAAGATAGAGTTCAAGAAGGTATAGGATTAGTGTGAAAACTAGATAAGTTTGGTTAGTTAAATGAATTTGAATGTCATTTAGCCTAGGTTAATTTATGTGAAAAAGAAACTAATGAAAGATATTAGAGGAAAAAGTAAGATAGGTGTTAATTGGTTAGGGAGATAAGATAGGAAGTAAGATAGATTAAAAGATTTAACACTTAAGGTTGAAGATAAAACCATCTTTAAATCTCACGGCCAACTTCATTTATTTTTTTTTAAATTTATAAAAACGAAAATTATTCTTAAATAAATAAAAAAAATAATTGGATTTGATAATTAAATCAAGTTAAAATATATAGATAATATCAAAACTAAGATTAGTTGTAATTCATGAGATAATAATTAAGCTAAGGTTGTTAAGTATTATTAAGATAAAAACCGAAAAAAAATAATAAATTTAAAAACGGCGTACAATGTTAATAAAGTATGGACCCACCAAGATCATAATTTAAAAATATTTAATTATTTTAAATAATTAAAGAAATTACTAATTAAGAAAAAATTTCCAAAAATTAGGGTATTACTGTAGGGAATAGTTCAAGCCTTAATCCCACTAGCTTGAACCCCACTGTGATCATACAATAAAGTACGGTGGCGTCTAAAAGGGAAGAAGATATAGCAAAAGAGTCGCCAACAAGTTTTTAAGGAACTTGTAAACCGTTCACGAGGTGAAGGTTACACCCTTTAACGATCCAAGAGATCGTCAACTCCATAAGGTTATGAACCAAATAAGGGTTCGGGGATGAAGGTACAAATCCAACCTAAAAGAGATTGAACCTGCCCTAATAATAGGCCTCTACTTTATTGTGATCGTATTCATGTGCGCTTTCTGACTAACATGCAATCAATAGGATTAACCCTAAACCTGTTTATCTATGTTGGTTGAATATTAATGCACAAACAAACTATTATTGGCGGTCACTTGAATTATAATCACATTAACCCTAAACAAGATTATTAATATCTTATTAAGCATGATTACAAGTACTAAATTCCCTTTAAACACGCATAAAAGGTGTGATCAAGCAATAACAATAAATATCAAGCAACATAATAAATAATCGAGCATTAGAATAAACATGAATAATAATAATCATCAAAATAATAATAATAATAATAATAATAATAATATTCATAATCATCAACAATTATAACAATTATAATAATTATCATGTTCATGTTAATATTAAAGCACAATAGTAATAGCAAGATCCTAGGCATGATACTAACAAAATTAATAACAAACCCTAGCATGTCACTAAGCAATAAAAATCAAATCTTTAGCCCTAACATGATACTAACGATCATAAATATTAGGAAGAATATAAAAGGCATCACAGGAATCATATTAAGCATATTTGATATTATAACTTTTTCCCTAAACATGATACTAGGAATCAATAATAACAATATAAATATGATGTCTACATCATAACATCAATAAAAACCAATTAAAGCACTTACTTTGATGCCTTGTACTTCTTTCTAATAACAAAATACACACGTTAGTAACTTCTGGGAAAATAATAAACAAAACAATTAAATTAAATAATTGAAAGAGAGATTTGGGACCAAACCCTCAGAAATTAAACCTTTCACGTCTAGGGCGAAGGCAACTTCGAATATGGCTAGGTGTTTCTAAGTCTTGTGAATGCGGAATTTTGTATTTGAGCAAAGTTTTTAAAAGAAAGAAAGAAAGAGATGAATGAATTAAAGAATGCTAATTAAAACTTGTGAATGAGGAGAATTGGTGAATGATAGATGTAGATGATGAATGAAAACGGAGTTTTTAATACGATATTTATAGAGAAAATCAGCCAAAAAAGATAAAAAAAACAAAACAGAGTCTGACGCTCAGAAAACAGAGCTGGCGCCAACCCTGGCTAGCTGGCGCCAGGCACCAACACTAGCGCCAGGCGTTAGGCCTGGTTCCAGGCGCCAAGGCCTGGGGTTAGGCGCCAAGCCTGATACCAACGCGTTTTTGAAAATCCGATAAATTTACCGTACTGGAGGATAAAATCATATAATTTCTTCGAAAATGCTATTTGATTTTGATTAAAACTCTGAAAAGACAACAAAAGTCAATTTATCAATGCTAATTGAATTAGGAATGAAAAGAACCTTCTAGAAGATTCTAGAAGACTAAAATCATTCCTAATTGCATTAGGAATGATAAATCATATTAGGCCCTCCCCTAGATCATTGGGCCGTATATAAAGCTCAAACCCGACCCAATTTAGTAAATTGGCCATAATTTCCTCAATATTCATCGGAATTGGGCTTATAATATATCGTTGGAAAGGTCTTTGCAAACCCCATCCAACTACACTACTATTGGACCCATATCATGGACCAACCAAACTGGATTGGATGTTTTCTTAAAAATAAGTTTTCAAAAACAGAGAGAAGAGAAAAGAAATAAAAACTTTCCGCAACACTAGACTTTCCACACTTTCGCTTCATTCGATTATGATTTGACGTGAAAGGTACTCATCACTGGGTTTGGTTTTGGGGAGACACAAATGGGTATCTACAATTACACTATCAGCGGCTAGTGGTTAGTGGTGCTGGGGTTGAGGTGGTGGGGTTAGTGGTGTTGGGGTTGAGGTGGTTAGTGGTGCTGGTGGTTGAGGTTTAGGTTAGGAGAGAGAAATAAGGTGATGGGGTTTGGTTGTGATGTGGTGGTGCTTATGGAAGGGTGATAGTGGTTATGGTGTGGCTAAGGTGGGAGATGGGAGATTGAAAAAGATAATAAATAAATAAATAAAGTAAAAAAATAAATAACATGTTAAACAAGTTGTAGGTTAAAATGCTCATTTTGAACAGATGAATGTCAAAGGTGGAATTATTCTTGGAATTTGAAAAGGTAGGATTGTTTTCAGTGGCGGATCCAGAAATCATAAGCAGCGAGGTCACTATCAAAATGATCTACTATTCAAACAAATTTTATAACTATTAAAAATTAAAATCCACAAATTAATTATAAGTCATATAAGATCCTTGAAAAAAAGTCATGTAAAGTACAATACATAAATAATTCTAAGGTAATTTCCCTCGACGAGGTTTCATATTTTGAAAGTGATACATAACAGTTTCATTGAAAATAGTCTCACAAATATCCCTTTCAATGTATGCCACCAAACAATCATTCAAAAATTGATCACCCATCTTAATATGCAATTTGGACTTCACATATTTCATGGCAGAAAAGGCTCTTTCCACACTTGCAGTCGCAACTGGTAAAAGCAATGCTAGCTTTATTATAATATGTGCCGATGGATATATCACATATTTCCCTATTTCAACCATCACTTTACAAAGATCACCAATTCCAACAAGACCTTGAAACTCATCACGTTGTCGCACATCAATGATAAAGTTTCTCAACTCAGAAGAAAGTCCCCTAATATCATTTGAATCAAAATTATAATATAGTTCTGCCATTCTTACCAATTTCACCACATCAAAATTATGGAATGAGTTCTTAGGACACAAGCAAGACACACAACGGAGCAACTCCATATTGATTTCATTTAACGATTGTTAAGCTCATGAAGTTGTAAATCAATAGTAGCATAAAACACCTCTACACGATAGTGATGTTCATAAGTGATTTTTGGAGCATTTCTCTTTGGTCTTCCTGGAGTCATATAAAAATCATTCATGTTAGGAACATCAATATCATGACCATAACAAAACCGATTTACCTTTTCTAACAAATCCTCAAATTCATCATCACTCATCAATTGGAGGCGTTGCTTAGATGCTCCGACCAAATCCATTACATTGATAATATCTTGATCCTCCCTTTGCAAAGCTAATGATAACTCATTTGTGATACCCAAAAGATCAAACAAGAGGTGCAGTATGAATGCAAAAACAAATGAGCATAATGAAACCATAAGACCACGTGCATTCTTTCTATTTCCCGAAAAAGAAGCATCACTATAAATGAAACCCAATACATCAATCACATCTGGGTACAACTCAATCAAATTCAACAATGATTTATAATGAGATCCCCACCTTGATTCCCCCGGTCTTTTTAGACCAAGTTCTTGGTTTAACCCCTTTCCAGTTTCAATCTCACCATTATTATTATTAGCAATATTCATCACTTGGTAGCTATATATGTAATACCCCATATTTTAAACCCGTTTAATTATATTAATCAAATTTATTAATTTAATAATGTTCGATTTCCTTCCAAATTATTTTAAAAATATAAATATGTATTTAGATAATACAATAGCATTATTTAACTTATCAATATATAATTTTACGGAAATAATAATTACATTTATAAAATATTTTATACGTATGAGTTAAGCCGGAAATGTAACACTCGAAAATCATATTTTTACTTTGAGTATTTCTTTGCTCCAAGTCAAAGGACCCAAGTCCATTTCTTACTCCTAAAGCATGACCAAAGTCACAAACTTCTCTTACAAACTTGAATACTTGGCCTCCAATTTGTTGACATCATACATGATGTCAATAACATGACCTCATAAACTTCATTGACCCCCAAGTTGTTGACATCATACATGATGTCAATAGGGCTCTCAAACTTTATAAATAGGATCCAAAGTTCATCCATTTTAAGCCAAAAGTCTCTTGCCCTCAAAGCTCCATCCTTCTTTCTTCTCTCTTCCTCCCATTTTCGTACTTCTTCATCCCGTATATGTTCCAGGCCATTTTTCAGCGACTTATGTTCATTTTTAGCATTTTGATATTTGAGATAAAGTTGTTCTTCTCGAAAAATCCTTGAGGTTAGGCTCAAGAATCACCCAATTTGGAGTTATATACTATGAGATATGGCCTCTGCAAGATCTGACTCCTCCTTTTCAACGTGAACCTTTCTACTTTAGGTTGTTTTGCGGTTAGTATTCTAAAACTAATATTTATTTTCAATTTATTATTATAAGGTTTTATATCTGATTTTATTACTCCATATAATGTTTATTTAGGAGATAATTCATGGTAGTAAATCTAGGTGAATAGTTGTAAAGAGTCAATATAATTGTTCATGCACGACTAGTCTACGGTCGTTATTTAATGGTTTAATGTTCATGGGTTGAAGAGTTTTTGATTTAGGATTATTGGTTCCTTGTAGGGGGAATTGCAAGTTTGAGATTAAGAAATTTGTGTTTGTTGCAAAAGATCAAGGTACGTACTCGTGGCTAGATCTTTAAATATGTGATTTTATACAAATGTGTTTTGTGTTTTGAATGATGAAATATGTTTGAATGTTGAACAAGGATTTATGAATGTTTATGAAATGAAATGAATATTGTGAAATGTTTTAATGTTTGATCTTTGGAAATAATTTCAATGTTCTAAAAGTTTTTTATACACATACTTGAATTCAAATTCATTTTAAAGAGCAAATGTTGTTGAAATCCCATATATGGGAATTGGAAGGTTGATTTATCAAAGATATATATTGGATTTTTATGACTCCACTATGTGGAGATAAAATTGAAGACTATGGACTATATATGACCTAGTCTTTCCCCTTGATAACACTATGTAAGGAGTTGCTAGCTTGGGGGGTGTGCACACTTAGGTGGAAAAATGATTTGTGAAATGAGGATTGGATCTATCCATGCTTTGTCTTAGACTATTTTTTTGAAAATTATTGATTTCGGAAAATGATATATTTTAATATGAGAATTTATATTCACGAGTGGTTTGAATCAATTGTGATTGATTAAAGTCGAAACTTTTGAAAGCATGTTTAATGAACTAAATTGATTTTACATGTTTAGCATTTGTATGTACTTAGCATTTTGGCTAATACGTATTTCTCTTTTGTTTTGGCTTGGCCCTACTTATCATTAATGATGAGTAGATAGGTGATGGCGATCAGAAGACGTGAATTAAATGCTGCATTGGGGACAATGGGCGGTGATCACCTAGTTAAATTTAGTAGACATAGTATCAATGTTTTAGTTACTTCAGAAATTTCTTGAACTATTATCATTATTATTATTAAATGACAAGTATTTTCTTCCGCTGCAAATCTCTGTTAAGCCTTACGTAATCACGTGGCGGTAATACTCCCATGTTACTCCCTAAAGTTGGATTATTATTATTGTAAATATTAGAGAGTAATTTGGGGGTGTTACAATATATATTTACTTTTGCAATATAGACTTCACGAGCCACTTCTCCGATGATCGAGCTGAATCAAGGTGATAAATTGTGTTATTGGAATTACAAATCACCATGAGGCTCCAATGCTCCCTACATAAGTAAACTATATTTGCAATGAAACCATTACTAACTTTTAATCAAACTACCTCAATCTGAAATTCCTTCGTTATGGTCTGATCGCATATAACCTGCTTCGTTGTCTATGCCATTTAGTACAACAGATCTAAGAATGGTGAAAGGTGCTGAATCATCAAACGCATCATATTCTTCCTCATCCTCAACATCTCCAATGCCTAGGATTCTTCTTTTGCCAGCTAGCACTATAGACCATTTTGAATCAACTGGGTCAATTATGTAGAACACTTGCTTAGCTTGAGATGCAAGGATAAATGGTTTCGCACTATCATTCAAGTGGCCAAGATATACAAGAGTAAAGTCCTCATATTTGACGTTACGCCTCATATTATCAACCCACTTACACTTGAAAAGAGCAACCATGAAGTCACAATAATCAAGCTCCCATATTTCTTGAATTCGACCATAGTATGACAACTCTTCATCGACAGGTGATTTATCCTTAGCACTTGCAAACTTCCTTGACGATGCCACAAGCGTTACACCACTGTTTTGGGTGGAGGAAGATTTCAAATCATGACCCTCGGTCCAAAAAGTGTACCCATTGATGTCATATCCCTCAAATGAACGAACATCATCCATAGGACCGTACACAAGCCACTGTATTGTATCGGTCACATTAGTATCATCCAGCAATCGACTCATTACTCGATCACGAAACCAATTAACAAACCTCTTATTATGCAACTTCATAAGTGCCCTTTTACCGTTCGGTGGAAATTCATCACGCAAACTAGCCATGTGCTCGTCTAAATATTGGTGCACATCTGAAACATGGTGCAACACATAAAGGTGTGCTTGTAAGAACTGATCTTAGTTTGGTGACATTTGTTTCGACCCAATTGTGTCATGACCATCAAGTCTACCTTCATGTCAAGAAGTAGGAAGACCAATAGCTAGGTTGAGCAAGAGCTATGTAGTCCGCCACAAAGTTTCCTATCTCCTCACCCACGGTCCCTTGCATCATACTTCCTTCAGGGTGAGCCCGGTTCCGTACTTTATCTTGTAATGTACCCATGTGTCTTTCAAAAGGGTAGCACCACCTCATGACACTACCATAAAAAGGGGAATACAGAACACCTATAAAAAGCAATATAGGCGTTCTTCTGGTGGGGTGCTTTATAAAGTCTACAGAACGCCTCTTTGAGGCGTTCTATATCTAACACAATACAGATCGCCTATCTAAGATAGGCGCTTCATAAGCTAGGTACAAATTAAATAAAAAACAAGGAAAAGAGAGCGGTCATCTTAGGATAGGCACTCTATAGCTATATAAAAAGAGAACGCCTACCACAGATAGGCACTCTCTTTTCCTCATTTTATTTAAAAAAAATTAAATTATTATTATTATTATTATTATTAATATTAATAATAATAATAATAATAATAATAATAATAATTCATACGTGTGAAATAAAATAAACATGATAACATTTTATTTACCAAATTCATTAAAAATACAGTATTCAATTACAGCAAAAAAAAGTCCTCTAAAAAAATAAAGTTACATTACAAACAAGTGAAACAACAATTAAAGAATTTTAAGAAGAAAATAGAGAGATAGAAAGTAGGTGTCGATCTGATGAAAACTACCAACACGGTTCCAGTCCTCGCAACACGCAACCACCTTAATCATCCACCTTAACAGCCGCCAGCAGTCGCACCAAACCACCATAAACGCCGCATAAAAAACCGAGCAATTGCATCATCAAACACCCACCAAAAAATACATAGAGTGGAAATACATAATATTAAAATTCATCCAATCATACATCATAAACCTTTGGAAAATATTGATAACGTAACTCATAATAAGCTTTAATTTGTCAATAAATTGACAATTTCATTATCATAGACAAATGATGGATCTAAACGGAACTATTAGCTCATAAACTGATAAAGATTTTTTTTAAAAGCAAATTGTTCAAATCTAAATAAAGTTATTGTCATTTTACCAATTCAAATACAGAGTGACAATTAATCCCAAATGGACACAATAAAAAATAATCAACATAACAATTAATCCTAAATCAACACACAATAACCAAAACATTAATCACTCTGTATGTAAAAATCCAATAAATTTGCAAGATTCAACAAATTCAACATTCATAGTAATTATTAACGAAAAACTTATGAAATTGAATCAAACCACAATTAATTAAAGTGTGAAATTGATGCGTCTTACCCCATTACGTTCTTTAATGGAGAACCCCAGCCTTAACCGGCGACATCATGGAAACCCCGACCTCGGAAACCAACCTTGGGAACCCCGGCCTCGGAAACACGTAATGCGGTAAGACGAGGCCACCTCCTAACCACAAGGCCACCGACATAACCACGACATAACCATCACAAAACCCAGGCCACCTAGGTTCTTCTCGAGGTTGGCGCTCACCACTTGAAACACCCACGGAAAATTAACCAACGGGTGGTTTGGGTCATGGTTGGTGGTTGGTTGGCCTTAAAATTTAGAAAATGAAAGGAGAGAAAAAATGAGGACCTTAGAAGTTGAAGAAGAGAAAAATGAGGCATATGCGGCTATGAATAAGGGTAAAGGAGAAAGAGGATCCCGTACTATGTATAGGGTTAATATAGAGCGCCTAACAAAGATAGGCGTTATGTAGGTAAAGTGACATTTTTATAAATAAAATATATAAAAATCAAACACAATGGTTAACTATGGGAGGCGCTCTATAAGTTTTGACATACAAAACGCCCATATGACATGGGCGCTCTATATAATTTTAGAGATCGCCTATCCAACTTAACAGTTATGTATTGTGTGTTGCTTATTCCTCATTTTGTGGTAGTGTGAACACTGGACCGCACAACTTAATCTCACGAACCAAATGAAGAACCAGATGAACCATTATGTCAAAAAATGAGGGTGGGAAATACATCTCAAATTTGCACAAAGTCACAACCACATCTGCTTGCAAAGCATCTAGTGTACAAGGATCAAGCACTTTGCTACAAATTGTATTGAAAAACGAACAAAGGCTTGTAATCGCTTCCCTCGCGTGTTTTGGTAGAATACCACAAATTGCAATCGGTAGGAATACTTGCATCATAATGTGACAATCATGGGATTTCATACTTGTCAACTTCAATTCTCCATTTTAGGTTACAAATCTTTTCATGTTAGATGAGTACCCTGTTGGAACCTTAATGCCGTACAAACATGCACAAAACATACGTTTCTCTACCTTTGACAATGTATAGCAAGCTGGGGGTAAATAATTCTTTTCATCCTTCCCTTTACCCTCAACTTTCTTCTTTGACGCATCTTTGGCCTTTCCCTTTCCCTTGATCTTCTCCTTCCCTTTTTTCGAAACATTTTCATCTTCTTTTCTCGGTTCCTTCCCCTTTCTAACCTTTTCTTGAGGCCACAATTCTGGGCGAGTCCCCATCTCTTTCAAATCTAACCGTGCACCCTTTTCGTCCTTTGTTTTTCCTTGGATGTTCATAAGTATTCCCAAAAGAGCATCACACACATTCTTCACTATATGCATCACATCAAGACAATGCCTAACTTCATGTTCTCTCCGGTACGGAAGCTTCCAAAAGATTGATTCTTTCTTAAACACAGCAGCTGAGACCACAGTTTTTTTTTTATTTTCCAAACACCGTTCGTATCCCTTTCACCCAAGCACAAATCTCAGCACCAGTCAATGGTCTAGGCGCAGTATCCTCTTCCACTGTTCCATCGAAAGCCTTTTTCTACCTACGATACGGGTGATCACGCCTAAGGAACCTTCGAGTCCGTAGGTAGACATCTTTGTGAGAATGAGTAAGGTATACGCTTGATGTGTCATCAATACATATGGGGCATGCTTTTTTCCCTTTGACCTTGTACCCACACAAGTTGCCATATGCAGGGAAGTCATTCATGGTCCACATAAGGGCTGCATGCAATGTGAACATCTCGTTTTGATGAGCATCGAAAACGGAAACCCTTTCGTCCCACATCTTTCTCAAGTCGTCAATAAGCGGCGCAAGGTAAACATCTATGTCGTTTCTAGGTTGCTTAAGCCCCGTTATTAGCAATGAAAGCATTACATACTTACGTTTCATGCACAGCCAAGGAGGCAAATTATAAATCACTAAAAGTACCGGTCATGTGCTATGTTGGGTACTAAGAGTGCCAAATGGATTCATCTCGTCCGTGCACAACCCAAGCCTTAAATTTTTGACTTCATCACCAAAATTCTCAAACTTCAAATCAATGTTCTTCCACTGTGGAGAGTCGGTTGGATGCTTCAGCATTCTGTTTTTCTTTCTTCCCTCTGCATGCCACCTCAAGTTTTAGCGTCTTTTGGTATTGAGAACATACGCTTAAACCTTGGAATAATGGGAAGATACCGCAACACCTTAGCAGGAGGTCCCTCCGTACCAGGATTGCAACTCGTGCGCTTGTAGCGCGACCGCTTGCATCGTCGACACTCATGCAATTGTTCATACTCATTTCGATACATAATACAGGCATTAGGACATGCATGTATCTTCTTATACTCCAAACCAAAGGTACACATGAGCTTCTTTGCGTAATAGTAAGACTTAGGAATTTCATTCCCATTAGGAAACATATCACTTAATGTGGTCAACAAAGAAGTAAAACTAATGTCCGTCCACCCATGCTTCGACTTAATGTTGAAAAGTGTTAGCACGCCCGATAGTTTGGAGTATTTTTTGCACCCAGGATACAAAGGCTTTTTGGAAGCCTCCGATAATAACTTAAACACTCCACCTTCAACACTATGCAACATCTCACCACTTGTTCATCCTCGACC